GATGGATGGATGGGTGGATGGATGGATGGATGGGTAGATGGATGGATGAGTGGGTGCATGAATGGGTGGATGGACGGATGGATGAATGTGTGGGTGGATGGGTGGATGGATGGGTGGATGGGTGTGGGTTGGTGGCTGGATGGCTGGGTGGTTGGGTGGGTGCTTGGCTGGGTGGCTGGGTGGCTGGGTGAATACATGACTGAATGGATACATGGGTGGGTGGATGGGTGGGTTGGTAGATGGATGGATGGGTGGATGCTGGCTGGATTAGAGATGCATGGATGGGTGGATGGATGATACATGTATGGATAAATGGATACATGGCGGGATAGGTAGATGGGTGTATAAGGGACGGACAAACAGACTCTCTGAGTCTCTCAATTACAAACAGGCTCTGTCGCCCTGTGCCCTCACATCAGAGGCCACACACCCAGCCTCTAGCATGGGTGCCATGTGCTGCAGACTGCCGCACAGCATCCTGGCCTTGCCCCCTGGACTGCAGCCCCCGCTTCCGCAGGTGGGCGATCACCGGCCCTCTGACCGCGGCCGGGCGTGGGGGCAGCGCTTACCCAGAACGTCCCGCAGGAGCTCCTCGGTGCGGCCAGCGCGCAGCAGGTGGAAGGGGAGCTCCGCCAGCTTCCGCTCGTTGGCAGCGGAGTCTGAGAACCACAGGGGCTGCGGCGCCACCTGGGGGGCGGGGACGGGCTGGAGCACGAGGTGGCTCACGTGCCCTGCAGACTCGGGCGGGGGCCCACAAGGCCCACACCCTCGTGCGGCCGCTGGGGTGGGCAGAGGGAGGCGGCGGCCTCAGCTGTTCAGAGGCGGGGCTGAGGCACTTCCTGGGGACAGGGAGGTCTCAGTGGGGGCCTTGAGCTGGGCCTCAGAGGATGGGCAGGAGTCCGTCCAGCAAAGCGTGTCAGAAAGCAGTGGGGCTGCCAGGCGCTGCGCACACGCGTGTAGCCCCACTGCTGGGGAGGCTGCGGTGACAGGCGTGCAGCTCCAAGCCTGGTAAAGTGTTAGCGTTTAAAACCCTGACATAGGGGCTGGGGATTTAGCTCAGCGGCAAAAGCGCCTGCCTGGCAAGCGCAAGGTCGTGAGTTCGGTTCCCGGTACCGAAGAAAAACCAAAAAATAAAAAAATAATAAATAAATAAAACCCTGACATGTTAGAGGAGCACGTGCCTAGAAGTCAGAGTGCACTGTGGATTTCACAGGTGAAGATATTCAGGCCCAACAAGCAGGATGGATGGACGAACGGACAGAGCGGTCCCTCGGTTTTCTTGCCTTTTGCAGTGCTAGAGACGGAACCCAGGGCCTCACCCATGCTAGATAAGCTCTCTTCCACTGGGCTATGCCACAGCCCTTTTTATTTTTATTTTGAGACAAGGTCTTGCTAAGTTGCCCAGGCTGGGCTTGAACTTGCAACCCTCCCACCTCAGCCTCCCGCAGTGCTGGGATGACTGACATGTGATGCCGTACCCAGCTGGCGGGGGGGTGGTTTTCACTTAATTTTTTTGGTGGGGACAGGCTCTCACTATAGAGTTCAGATTGGCCTTGAGCTCACTTTGTAGCCCAGGCTGGTCTTGAGCTCCCAACCATCCTCCTGCCTCAGCCTCCGAGTGCTGGGATTACAGGAGTGCACCACCACGCCCGGCTTGGGGGTGGTTTTAATGTTCCCGAATATTGTGATTTTTTTTCTCTGCGTCAAGTTGGGTGTCTGTACCCTCCCCTCCACTGCTCACCATCCCAAGTTGCGCCCAGGGGCTGGGGGCCCCTCACCCCCCTGGGCGGGGAGCGGGGTGGTCACGGGGTGGCCTTGTGGCCAGGGCAGCAGTGGCTCACCTTGCGGTCCAGGCTCAGTGGCCTCCCTACGCGTGGCAGAGTGATGTGCTTCTTGGTGCCCTGGCTCCAGGCGCCGGAGAAGAAGTCGGCCAGGACCCCGTGCCGTGCAGCTGCCCTGGGTGGGGTCAGGTAGCGTGCGCGGACCACCTCGGCCAGCTGCCTGCGGGTGGGGACACAGGTCAGGAGCAGGCCGGGCTCAGGGTTGGGGGCGGAGACGCAGGGTGGGGGCGGGGATGCTCTGAACCCAGAGGGAGCCACCCCTCTCCCTGGGGCTGCCTGCGGGACGCCTGGCCATCCCAGACGCCTTCTGGGACTGTGTTCCTCTGTCACCTAGTGTTTGTCCCTAAATTGGCCCGTTCTCTGTCCCTTAAATACATGGACTTTACAAAGGAGCCCTGGAAGCCGAGCATGGTGGCACACGGCTGTAATCCCAGCACTCGGGAAGCTGAAGCAGAAGGATTATAAATTCAAGCCCAGGGGCTGGGGATTTAGCTCAGCGGCAAAAGCGCCTGCCTGGCAAGCGCAAGGTCGTGAGTTCGGTTCCCGGTACCGGAGAAAAA